CCTCTCTAAAAACACTGTTTGACTTCGGCATCGGAGGGGTCTTCCTCGGATCCAGCCCCGGAGCCAGTTTACGTGTGTTTGCTGTGCAGGAAACCTTTGGCCCATCATCTTTTGGACCGGACAAGTCTTCATCCACTTCATTGGACCTTCGACAAAGTCCTATTGTTTTCATCCGAAACAGTATCTTAACAAATTTCATACTAAGGAAATGCATAAAAAAAAGTAACTCATAGTAAATGGCATAGTTTCCATGAAGGAGTTTATGGTCCTAATTACTTGTGTCCTTTTTTTATGCATGCAATTCATAATATTAAGCTTAAACATTATGTAACTGCGGGAACATGAGATTATTAAACCCTCCCATAGGTAATTCTCAGTGAATCAAAATAAATTTAATAAAATTAATGTTGAAATACTTGTTACTCCATTTGTTTTTGTTGATTGCATGTTGATTGAGATCATATATGATCAAAACAGTTTCATCGCATGTTGGATATAATAACACTGTCATGTTGATGGTTCGGTATCAAGTCAGGTTGAAATGATTTTGGGTTGAAACGGGTTCATTTGGCTGGAGGGTCGGGTTGGGTCGATGCAAATAATTATCAAGTTGGTTTCGTTCGATTTATTTTAGACAATTTCAATGAAGGTCGTGTCATAATTAGTTCGAGTCATAATAGGGTTGGTATATGAAACGGGCAGGTTGGGAACGAGTTTACCCAACTAATTACACTCAAAAACAAAAATAAGATGATCTTGTTTGAAGTAAAAATATATGAAAAGGTGATACAAGTGTTTTGAAGATGTACATTAAAACAAATCAAACTTACGATTTCATATAGATATGATTTTTTTTACTATAAATCACCAACTAAAAATATAAACGTCAAATTAGAGAGTGAATAAAGTGAAATGCAAAATTTAGCAAGTAAAATAAATGGAGATGATATGAGAGATGTAAACCCGGTTCTAATTTTAATTCAATGTTAATTAACTTAAACCATATATAAACAAATGGAGAAAATAAAATACGCATATACCATATATATTGAAAAACTTTATTTCAGTTCATGTCAATTAGACAATTATTGACTTACAAACTTTGATTAGTTTATTTAGGAGGCACAACCCAATCATACATATGGTTATATCTCTTCTTCCTATGATCATACAAAGCAAGTCCTTCTTCATCTGCTTTCCAAGTACATTCAGGACTCCCACAAAGTCCATCAACAAATTCTGGAGTATCAACAAATGCTTCATAGTCTAAATGGCCATGACCCCATGACAAATGGCATTCATAATGTGTTGATGTCCAAGTTTCATCTACGAATGTCCAATTGAAATTTTCATGCTCCTCTATAATTTGCAGCCCTAGATCTTCCATTTTTGGAGCAGTTTTCCTACAATGAACATCAAGAACTTGTACGTTTAATTCATTTTCTATTGTCAACCAATAACGGTTTGGGTAAAGCCCCCGACCTGTCACACATGGTTGCTCTATGATTCCTAGAATCAAGAGTATCATAGTAGCTAGTAAAATTTTCAACATATTTTTGTTATGTTTGTGATTTTTTTTTTTTCGGAAAAGATAAAAGCTAGGTAGACTATCTTTCTCCGTTTTTCCTTTCTTTGCTCTAGCTTTTAGGTTCTTTTTGGAGGTCTTAATTTATAGTAGTAAGTTATTGAAATTATGCATCTGAAAAGAAGAAAATATCAGCACATTTTGTTGTTATCATACTACATAACTTACGTTGACTCAAATAACATAAAATTAACTATTTTGAACATTTAATATATTGATGTTGTTCCAAAAATCATAACGGACCTTGAAGTTATTGTTTAATTTGCATGAAGGTGTGTAAACATTAAATAGTTTTCAAATGTAATTAAGGGTGATCTCAATCAGGTTTAGTTAGTGCAGTTTTGGGCTTAGTCCAAACCAAACTGTTAAAGTACAGTTTTTCCAAACCAAACTCAAATCATATTATATGTCAAACTGAACCAAACCAAGATGTGTTAAAAGTGTACAGTGTTATTTGGTTAGCATTTATACATTTTTTTATTTAAGATAATTGTATCATTAAGAAAGTTTGTACAACAAAGGTTTAGCTAGAAAAATAAAAAACTTAGTCACATATTAGCAAAATAAAATACATCAAGCTACACATAATCACATATACTACCTCCGTTAAATGTTATGTGCAACTTTGGAATATTTTATATCTCACACATAATACCCCAAAGTTGCACATAACAATTAACGGAGGTAGTATATGGAATACTTCATATGTATATGACAATAATACTAACTCATTTTATGCACAAAATGATTCATTACAGTTTGCTTTAAATTTAACACCTAACCAAACTTATGGTCAATTTGACAAAAAATTCTATAACCAAATCATAATTTTAAAATCGTAATATAAACTAAATCAACCACTAAAAACGATTTGGTTTACAGTTTGTTATGATTGATGCCAACATATGAATCTGGATATTTATAGCTTGACAAGGTTTACTTGTCGATTAAATTAAAATGGAGTACTTATTATTTAGATTGAATTTAAATCTCAGTCATAGTAACAATATTAGCTCATTATATTTTGCTAGTCCTAAATCCTAACAAGTTTAACCCATTTAAATGGATATATATTGAATTTAGGAATCTTAATTTACTCCGTACGTGATCAACCATCAATCCATCAGCCATGAAAATGGATCACTTGTTCACTTTAGACGATAAATTCAGTTGTAAAATTCCAAAAACAATTGTTTGATGAGTATGATGACTGACTTTCAATCAACGTGCATGAACATTGAACATGAATATGAGAATTTTCTACCAAAGATACATTCATTTCCACTAATATTTATTACTGGCTATATTTTCTAAAGACATTTTTACATGTTTACCAACCCCTTAAATAACGTATTCATTTGGTACTAGATTCAAGCAAAAGTCCATCTTCCTGGGGAAAAAAAAAAAAAAAAAACAGGCAAAAGTCCATCTTACATTTTTCAAAGCTTTATATATTCATCAACATAATATCTATAATAATAAATGACTATATAGTTTCTAAGAAAAAACATCTTTGCCCATATTGACTAGTGTCCATATTTTTTTACACATGCAAAGCTTATTGGTGGCTAATCGGTGCATTATTATTGGCACTAGATAACCGGCTGGATAAACTTAATGAATTCTATCAATACAAATAAAACTAAAATTTAAAATAAAAAGGAGTTACACTCATTTAAAATAAACGCAAACTATTATTGACTAGTCAAATCTCTATAAGACTATAATCCACAATTTTGTAGCTTTTAATTATACTTATTACTCCCTTCATTTCGTAACATTAGTCTTATATAATGTATATCAATGCAAACCTTTGATCGTAAATATTTTTAATCTCAAATTAGCAAAAATTATAAAAATAAGATATTATTAAAGTACTTATCGAGACGATAAAACTAGATCTCATATGACTATATATGTTTGTTATATAGAGCGAACTTTAACAAATTCTCTCAAATTAATAAGAATTAAAATATTTTAAATGAGACAGGGTCTGTTCTCATTGACTAAACTCAGCTGAACTGAACTGAACTGAATATTTTATAAGAGAAGGAAATTAGGAGCTGAACTGAATTGAACTGAACTGAGCTGAACTGAGCTGAACTGAACTAAACTGAAAATAAACGTAGGAGAACAGACCCTAATATTATGAAATGGAGGGAGTAGTTATTACTCACTCATTGACCACTATAAATAGCATAAAAATTGAGCTTTAAACATGTATAACAAGAAAGTTAAAGAAAAGTAGGCTAGAGATATGGCTTCTTAGTTCTTACGAAGTTTATACCAACACCAAAAAGAAAATGTTAAGTTTTTACTAATCTTACTATTAACTTTAATTACCATAGATCAACCCTTGGTGATGGGTTGGAGCTTATTTAAAGCACGCTATTGGGTACAAATTGATAATGGATTAAGCAATGATATTCTTACGGCTCATTGCGAGGGTGGTGATAAATATGAAGATCTTGGAGATCAAGACATTCCCAAAAGTGGTAATTTCAATTGGTCATTCAAAAGTGGTTTTTTGGAACAAATAAAATATAAGTGTAATTTGACAAAGCCAGACCATGGCCATATAAATTTTATAGCTTTTGTTGACACCCCAATTTTTGTCGATGATGATTGTGGCGGGCGTCACTGTTTTTGGAAAGCAGTTGATGATGGGTTATATTTGTATAGGGCTGGCAAACCCTGACCCGACACGAAAATCCGACCCGAACCCGACCCGAAGTTACTGAGAGAGACCCGAACCCGACCTGAACCGAACCCGAACAACCCGAATTCGACCCGATTTGACACAAATTTCATATTTCGTAATAATATTAAGTTTTACACTATTTATAATAGTTTCTAAGCATAACCCGAAATCGACCCGAAATCTGACCCGAACCCGACCTGCTGACCCGAATTGCCACCCCTATATTTGTATAATATTAAAACTAAATATTCTATCCGTGTGGGAACTTGGGATTATTAAACCCTCTTATGATTATTTCTCTATGAATCAAACTTAATTTAATAAAGGTTATTTGTTACAAATATATTTGTTGCTTCCTTTGTCTCTTTTATTGCACCCTAACTTAGTAAAATATGTTCAATACAATTTCATCATAAATTGGGTATAGCTATATTGATGACGATGAACATTGAAATAGAAGGCTAAAGTAATTGACTAATTCTCCTTGCCTGAATGTATTAGAAGCTTATACTAACATAGTATCATGCATTGGCTATAATAGTTCATTGAGAACATGGCAGGATCTATAATAGTTCATTGTTCCGTGCTTCCATTCATATTATCATTTTTATTGATCAGAGGTTTGGAACTGGTCAACTTATTACACGTCTGTTGCCTGTTGCTCTATAATCGACGCTAAGTCTATAATTCTCTATGATCAATCCAAACCTGTGAAGAGAGAAGCAATCCTGTTCACGTCTATTGAAGGAGCATGCGCGAGTGCAATTTAAATGTACCATCACATACGAATACGAATGAAACTAAAGCAGAACTTTTACTTTGATAAGAGGCCACCGTATTGTCCATTTGTCCATATACACAATCGCAGCTACTAGGGAGACCGATTGGCCAATCACTCAATTTGCTGCAGTCTTGCAGAAATTCTTGAAATATTCTTCCAGATTAGGAGTGGAAAATAATATATTACGCTATACATGAGATCCAATCTTATTAACCATATGGGATACAAAAGATCCAGTATACATGCACACATCATAAAACCATAAAGCTCCCTAGCTTTCCAACTCAATTGACAACATCATGGAAAACAGGATTGGCTTGTAACTCAGCTGCAAATTTCTCGAGGATCTGCCTCACAAGATCTCCAAGTTCATTTTTCTTCACATCCTTGGCTCTCATTTTGTTATCTATGTCAGAAAATATTGCATCATACAGAAGAATAACTGTTTCATTGGCTTCTAAAGGAGGTAATCCTAACTCATTCCCGTTCTTCTCGAGGTAACTCCTAATAACTTCTGCACAACCTTGCTCTTTCTGACAATCACTGGTTTGCTGATACATATTCTCTGTTACATCACCTAATTGGTTCTTGTCGGCCAAGAGCTGCAATGTTAACTCGAACTTTTCAGATTACCAAGCAATTAGGCCTTTGGATGGAGAAAAATAAATAGATAAATGGATAAGCTTCTTGCTATCAGAACCCTTTCCATTATCATCATATTGGGAGTCATTACTGAGAAGCTTTGAACCACGAATGTCTAGTTTAGACTTAAGTTAACATCTTTGATATTTGGACAACAAACATTTCAATTCATTTAGGCATGTTCGCTAACACATACTTTTAAATGTTAACATCTTTGATATTTGGGAAACAAACATTGAGATAATCTAATACTTGTATGAACCCACATGACTGTGTTTTTCCTTAACACTAAATCACAAAAGGAAGTCAAAGTAAGTTATGTGAATAGTGCACAAAGTCAAAATGTGTCAACTAAAAAGGAACGGAGGAAGTATGTTTTTGTATTCACTAGGGTGACAAGGAAGAAAAATAGGAGGATAAAATGCATAGAATCATTATCCTTTTTTGGACCATTCATAATCGTGTATGTTGCTTCAATGCAAACTGTTAATTCTGATTTTGCCCTTGCATATTCAGAGGGAGTGAGGGACTGATGGCACGTGTCATAGTCGGATCGTGTTTGTTGGCCTTTTAAAAATTAAAATAGGGAGTATGTAGTACAGAATGTAGATGGACTAGATGCATCCCTTTCGTTTACCCCTTTTTAAATAGATGATTGATGAAGTTAGCTAGTCAGAAAGGCCAAATGATATCTTCCTAATCAAGTGTCTAACAATGTCATCTACTGTTGAAGGGCAAGGTCAGTAGGCCACATAGAAACAGGGAGAAATGACTTGATAGCAAGGCCAACAAAGAAAAGTAACCAAAAGCAAGTTTTCTATTTATCTGTCCAATCTACTCTACTTGGTAATTAGTGACAATTTTTTGGACAGTACATTGAAGTGATGGTATCATCTAATAAAAAAACCTTATTAAAAATAGACAAGGAGACAGAAAACTACCTTTCTTAGCTTAGAACCATTAGTTATCTTGACATTTTGTACGACAGTGACAGGTTCTAGAGCCAAAGCATCTGCCAATTCCTGTAAAATAGGCTGAAGTAGTTGTGCAAATTGTGCTTGGCCTAACTTTTCCTCTCCTTCAGCTCCATGTTTCTTCAATATGTCATTTGCCATCGGAAAATCTGTTCAGCGATATGATGAAGATTAACAGGCAGTTTGAAAAATTTAAAAGGCACTGAGATTTCTGGCACAGTGACAAATTGACAATGGCAAAAAATGGAGACATAGCATTGTTAATCTGATATATCAGAGGAAATAAAAAATCTGGTATGGATACTGTAATTGTTGTTTTACAGCATATGATGTCCTTGTAGACATGGACACAGGGAGTACATCAATTCAAATTTTTACAACCTCCATTATTATTTTAGCTGAAATGTATTCCTTTTAGGAAATTTCATTTTAGTGGGCATGTTTCCTTTTTCTATAGCTTTCACTCTTTACATATCCATTCCCCTTTTTTTACCCACTTGGTTTTGCCTTCTCCCTTCTCTACTTGAATTGTGTGCCTACTTTTAATAGTCAGCTATAATGAAACAATAGATGATTTAGATTGCAACAGAATAGAAGCAGATGTGCATTGTTATCATCAGCAACAAACTATAGTTGAGTAAGCAGCATTATAGAAGAGCCTCCAAGAAAACACATTTTAAGTATGTTTCCTTTTCTGAATTCATACAAAACTATTTTCTTGAAATTGATTTTCAAACTACCCCAACATGAGTAAAATTTTACCAAGCTTTTTTATTATATGGAAGTTTCTTTCAATATACATTATTTGCAATATTTTGATATATCGAAGATGTCAAAAGATATACATCCTCCATTTCCTATTAGTTGACACATGACTTTGACACTATTTACATAATTCACCTTGACTTCATTTTGTGATTTATACTTAGGAAAAAGTCAGTCATATAGGGTCTTGTTTAATTCAACTTGTATATCATTTAATTTTCAGATATCAACAACTTGTAATATTTGCCTATTAATAAATAAAAATATTAATGTTTAAAATCACACCTTGGCAAACGTATCACTAATATGAAACGGAGGAAGTAGACCATTAGCTAAAAATAAGTACAATTCAACATACACAAAATTATGTCAGTGTATTATCAGAAAAACTGAACACTTACACCAGGTCATTCTTATGGGCAATGGCACCAAACCCTGCTGATGAATAAAATGTCAACTAAAACCTTGACATTCTTGTTAGGTTCATGGTATATAAATATGATATTCACAATGATTCCATGGTGGAATACAGAAACATAGTTAGTTACATGCGAATGGATGCACAAAACTAAGGATAATATACCAGATCAAACATATAATGCAGCTATTACACAATACAAATGTCGAAAGCTTCTAAAAAAGTAAGCTGAAGTATTTTGCTAAGGGATAAAAGCAGACCTGAAAGTGGAGGAACACCCATCTCAACTCCCATATTAACTAAGGCATTTCGTATTTCACTCTTGCTTAGCTTCCCCTCATCTTCTGCATCTAAGTCGGTGAACAGATTCTCAGCCAACATAGCAAAATCATCTTCATCCTCTAAAAAGAGACGAATGGTGTTTCCATCCAGAACTGATACTACAATTGGTTCATCTGCACAGATCAAAGAGAAACTCAATCTATCAATCATTTGATCAGAAGCGTGGAAAAAATAAACAGAAAAATTGAAGTGTAGGATAATCACCAATAGAAATGTACATGAATAGATTTGAGCCAAGTATAAAAATTTATGTGCTCTTTAATTGTTCAACTTTTATTTTCAAGCTTATTTAATTACTAGATGAACATTCCAAACTTATTAATCAAAATCAGTGATCATAGAAATTGCTAGACGGACAGGTAGCCCCAAGCTCCCAACCAAATTACTTTGTAACAACTACGAGAAAATAAAATGATTAGATTGCTAAATTAATCCCAGACTAATAATAAAAGATTAAATTAATTAAATTATACATTAAGAATCAGAATTTCATCGAATTAAATACTGGAGGTAAAAATGCAGCAGTGTTCAAGCTTGGCTCCTATATACAAGTTGAAAATCGTCTTTTATGTTTGTTTATTTGCTCAGCAAACGAGTTTAGACTAGATCATGTTTGACTTCTAGATGATCATGTGTGTAATAGCACATTGGATCATTTACACCCTTAATAATCATCCATGTGCAATCGAACATTGTAAAAATTCAAAACACTAGTTAACTAACTCATCCAATAGGATTTACTGATGACAACGGGCACATTCTATGAATTCATCCTCAAACATCATATCACAATCTAAAATCACAGTCCAATGCTTAGTAATTTAGTATAACTTCATTTAAGCTAAAATTCAGATCCGAAAAAAAGAATTACAAAACGTAACATTATAATAACTCGATACTGTACGAATGATTACAAGAAAATTCTATGATTTCATCCTCAAACATCACTCTAAAATCACAGTCCAATGCTTAGTAATTTAGTATAACTTCATTGAAGCTAAAATTCAGATCCGAAAAAACGAATAACAAACCGTAACATTATAATAACTCGATGTTTTACTGCAATTATCATTAACAGATAAGAATGCGGCATGGACAGTGATCAGGAAAATCTGGAAAACAAAAGATAAATCAAATTTTTGCAATGTCGGACTTAGTCAATGGTCATTTTGAGTATAATGGATTCCAATTTCCCCAATTTAAGGAGCATTATAATGCTGACCGATTTAATTGCAATTTTCAATCAAATTGCAAACTATTCTATTTTATGGCGAATCGTTTAATTCAATTCAAGTTTTAGTCAACTTTGGTTTATTCCTCAATTCAACAAAACTCAAAAGAATAAAAAATAATAATAATAAGATTAAATACAAGCAAAAAATCTTTTAAAATTGCATTTTAAAACTGAAAAATGTAAATCCGAAATTATTGTTGTCATTTAGAAATTTAAACTGTTATTTTAAGCTATTAATCGCTACTATTCCAGAAAAAATAATTCAAAATCAACCAGAAAGCAAATTTCAAACGATCTACTTCATCAAACAACCAATTTTGAACTGATCAAAAGTCAGAATTGAACAATTAAGCGCAAGATAATGAAAAAGAAACAAGTACCTCGCAATTCATCGGCGATCGCAGAGATGTAATCACGTAGAAGACGCTCAGCTTTTGCACTATCAATCACTTGACCTCGAACATCATAATCAAGTCGTTTAAGAGCAGATGATTTGAGAAACTCCGGCAATGAGAGAGAGTAAAGACAGTCGGAAGCTCTAGACTCAGCGATTTGAAGAACACGATCGGCGGCGATGTCGCCGGAAAGATCTTCCGGCAGTGAAGTGTCGGCGGAGAGGAGGTGAGTGCCGTCGAGAACTTGTAAAGCTCCGTCGGACATTGTTGAGGAGAGAGAAAGTTAGGGGGAAGGTTGGAGCAGAGGAAGGAAGGAAAGTGGTGGACTGACTGATGAAGAAAAAAGTAGGAGAAGATTTTGTGAGAAGAGGGGGGGAAAAGGGAGTGAATATGTAGGGGATATCTTGTTTGATTTTTGACAAGGGGTTTTGGTACTTTTTGTAGGGCGTAACGTATGTGGTACGTCTAGGTTATGTGACGCGGTTTTCGTGTTTATTTTGATACGTTGGGTCAGTTTGGTAGCTGGTTATAAATTGATTAAGGAAATGAATTTGGGTTTGGGGCCTTGCCCTTCGTTTGCATAAAAAAAGTTACTTAGGGCATGTTCATATTTACTGAACTTAGCTGAATTAAACTAAATAGAGCTTAAATGAATAGTTTATGAAAGAAGGAAATTGGGAGTTGAAGTGAACAAAACTGAAATTAAACTGAAGTGAACTGACCTTTAAAATTGGATTTTTCTTCAGAAATGAGCGTCCATTACCACTCTTACCACCCAATACCACATCCATGTGAAGATATTTGGTTTTCAAGATTGAGTCACTATATTAATGTGTAAAAAAACGTGTTTTTTCGAAATAATTTGCAATTGTATATGGCATTGGTATGTGAAATGTTTTGTGTGAAGCAACCTAATCAATGAAAATATCAAGGTACTATCAACACATCAACTTACGAAGAGATTTTCAAGGCAACGATGCAAGTGAGAACTTTAATATGAGGACAAATATTGAATATATTACCGTATAAATTTTGTTATATATTTATGAGTTATGCTTGGTTTATATTGACTTGATTTATAAAATTAATCTAAATAAGTTTTTAAAAAAATCTAAAATGTTAAGCTCCATAGTGATTAACGAGTCAAACTATTTGGATCAATTTTAATTCAAGATGATTTCGTATCGAGTTAATTTCCAAGTTGGATTAACTTTGGTTTGGGTTAATTTAAGGTTGGGTCTAGGTCAATTTGGATTTGGGTTGGATTGATTCAGCTTCAGGTTAAAAGATTTATTTTTTAGGAAATTATTCAGTGTACTACTAAGATTTTAATATATGCACCATGTACCCCTGAAAACTTTCAAATGCACCCACATTTTTAGAATACTTGTACTTCAAATTAAAAAAATAACACAAAACATTGGGTGCGGCATGTTTCGTGAGCCAGAGAAGTTGACAATAACGATAACGGAGCGAAAGGCAGAGCGAGCTTGTGCCAGAAACGAACTTAGTGGTGGCTCTGTGGCAAAGGGCGTTGATCGAAAAATGGATCTTGCACTTATATGAAGAGGATGAATTCTCTGCTCTTTGTCAAGAAGAAAGATGTTGTGGATCCTGTTTTAGGGGGTGTGAAATATGTTGTTAAAGAAGGGGAAATGGAGTTTAATGATTTTCTAGGGGCATTGTTGGTGGTAGGGATGGCAATTTAAACCGAGTTCGATTCGAATCCGATCCGATCCGAAGGAAAAAATCCGATTCGAATCCGTTTAAAATTAGTCTGAATCCGAATCCGATAAAATAGATCCGAATCTGAATAGGAGGTGGATCGGACTTGGACCCTACGCAAAGTCCGACGGAGTCCGATTTGAGTCCGAATCCAAGAGTATAAACATATGCTCTATAACTTGGGACAATTATTTGCTTGTTTTGTAGCAAAATTTTGTTATGTAACTTAATTTATAATTTAAATATGTTATGCTTATACTTTAATTAGTATGATAATGCAAGCAATTATAGGTATATGACATTACAAAAAATAAAAAATATTCGGATCATTTCGGAGGTCCGAATAAACGGATCGGATTCGGATCCGAAAATTACGAGTCGGATCGGATTCGGACTCGGATTCGGATCCGAGACCAGGGTCCGTTTACTAAACGGATCGGATTCGGATTTAGCCACATCCGACCCGAATCCGATCCGTTGCCATTCCTACTTGGTGGTCAGCTGCCTTATGGGCATTTGGATTTGGAGGTTTTTCAAAGTGCTCATTCTAATGATTTTATTTGTTTGTTCATTTAGGAAAATTTGCAAATCCAGCCATTTAAAGTTACTATTTTACAAATTGCAACCATTTAAAAAAATTGCAAATTGCAGCCCAAAAGTTATTATAAATTGTAAATTACAGCCTGATTTAACTTTTTTATTGCAATTGCAGCCCAAAAGTTCTTATAAATTGTAAATTACATCCTGATTCAACTTTTTTTTACCTGTTAACATGTTAAAAATATTTGGTTAAGGTTTTTGTAGTCATTTTAGCCCTTACGAATCCGAATTGAGCTCAAAACTAGCAAAAGAATAATGTAAGTGCCTTGTTTTTACAGTAAAAAATAGTTGTCCTCAAATCGATACATTTTTGTTACGCAAAACGATGCACGTACTTCTTTTTTTTTTTTTTTTTGCTAATTATAAGCTCAATTCGGATCTTAAAGGACTAAAATGGCCCCTAAAATCGTAACCGTATATTTTTTGACATGTGTAGGGAATAATTTCAAGCCTTTAAAATCCCACTAGCTTGAACCCCACTGTGATCATACACTAAGGTACGGTGGTGTAGACACCCATTTGTGTCTCCCCAAAACCAAATCCAGTTATGAGTACCTTTCACGTCGAATCATAATCGAATGAAACGAAAGTGTGGAAAGGTCTAGTGTTGCGGAAAGTTTTATTTCTTTTCTTTTCTCTTCTCCCTGATTTTGAAAACTTTATTTTAAGAAAACAGCCAATCCAGTTTGGTTGGTCCATGATATGGGTCCAATAGTGGTGTAGTTGGATGGGGCTTTTAAAGACCTTTCCAACGATATATTATAAGCCCAATTCCGATGAATATTGAGGAATTTATGGTCAATTTACTAAACTGGGCCCGGTTTGAGCTTTAAGTACGGCCCAATGATCTAGGGGAGGGCCTAATATGATTTATTATTCCTAATGTAATTAGGAATGGTTTTGGTCTTCTAGAAGTTTCTAGAAGGTTCTTATCATTCTTAATTCAATTAGGATTCTTTAGAGTTTTAATTAGATCAAATAGCATTTTCGACTGAAATTATATTATTTTATCTTCCAGTACGGGAAATTTATCAGATTTTCGAAAACGCGTTGAAATCCAATTTGGCGTCCAACCCCAGGCCTTGGCGCCTGGAATCAGGATTGGCGCCAGACGCCAGCCATTGGCGCCTGGCGCAAGCCACTGGTCCTGGCGCCAATGAGCCAGGGCTGGCGCCAAGGTGGTTTTGCGATCTTCAGACTCTGTTTTGATAAATTATATTTTTTGGATGTTTTTTTCTATAAATATCGTATCAAAAACTCCGGTTTCATGGATCAACAATCACCAACATTCACCAATTCTCCTTATTCTTAAGTCTTCATCATTCACCAATTATCATCCAATTATCATTCATCTAATTCTTCGCAATTCATTCATTCATCTTCATCTTTCTTTCATCAATTCTCGATAACATTAATCTTTTAGCATTCTTTCTAAACTTTGCTTTTTCATACAAAATTCTGCATTCACAAGATCTAGAAACACCTAGCCATATTCGAAGTTGCCTTCGCCCTAGACGTGAAAGGTTTTATTTTCTGAGGGTTTGGTCCCAAATCTCTATTTCAATTATTTAATTTAATTGTTTTGATTATTATTTTCCTTGAAGTTACTAACGTGTGTATTTTGTAATTAGAAAGAGGTACGAGGCATCCAAGTAAGTACTTTAATGGGTTAATTGATTTCATGATGTAGATATCATGCTTAAATTGTTATTTTGAAGATTCTTAGTATCATGTCTAGGGTATTTTTAATATTAAGCGTGATTAAAAGTATGATGCTTCCTATGTCGTTCTTTCTAACATTTATGATTATGATTGATGATGATTATTTATTATGTTGCATGATATATTATTATATATTGTTATTGCTTGATCACCTTTTATGTATGTTTAAAGGGAATTGGTATTTGCAATCACGTTTGATAAGATATTTAATAATCTTGTTAGGTTAATTGTGATTATAAATTCAAGTGATCACCAATAATAGTTTATTTGTGCATTAAATTCAACCAACATAGATTAAACAGGTTTAGGGTTAATCCTATTGATTGTATGTTAGTCAGAAAGCGCACATGAATACGTTCAGAAGAAAGTAGAGGCCTATTATTAGGGCAGGTTCAATCTCTTTTAGGTTGGATTTATACCTTCATCCCCGAACCCTTATTTGGTTCATGACCTTATGGAGATGGCGATCTCTTGGATCGTTAAGGGGTGTAACCTTCACCTCGTGAACGGTTTACACGTTCCTTAAAAACTTGTTGGCGACTCTTTTGCTCTATCTTCTTCCCTTTTGGACGCCACCGTACTTTAGTGTATGATCACAGTGGGGTTCAAGCTAGTGGGATTTTAAAGGCTTGAAACCATTCCCTACAGTTTTTGGCGACTCCACTGGGGAGGATTTCTACTTTAATTCCTGAATTTGTTTCGGCAATGATTTAGAATGAGTGGATGAGACTCGAAAAGTTCTAAGTATTTCATGTGCGTAATTTTGATTAACATTGTGGCATATGCATAAAAAGGTTCTCATTGGAAAGACCATCCGTAATGAGTCAAAAACATAGGATTTTACACGTAGGAAATTTGAGAAATGTCTTTCACAACTAGGACTGAAATAACAACGCGCGAAACTGGATGATTTTATTGAGCACGGAAAGCTGCCGAGGCATGTGGGAAGTAGTGTCAGGGGCCAGAGCTTGGCGCCATACTTTTAGCCGTAGCGCCAGACGCTAGTATTGGCACCAGACGCTACAGTTAAAAGTTGGCGCCAGTCTCTGTTTGCTGGCGCCAATTTCCCCCAATACCGAGCCAGAAATATGCGTTCTAATTTCGACCAATTTTTCGTATTGTTTGCTCGATCCTACTTCCTGATTGAATTTTTTCTCACTTTTCTGAAACCCATATGTGTTCTACATATGGACATAACCCTCTGGGAATTCATGCTCTATCTACCCGATTGAACGCTCCTAGCAACAAAGGGTACATCTAAGAGGTTGAATTCACCAAACCATGGAATTGAGTTTTTTCTAAAAAACTCGCAGTGTTCTATCCACACGCATTAACCCTTCACGGTTAGGCTTCTACGCGGTGCATCTGGACAATTAACCATGGACCCTAT